CTTCCTCTCTCTCTCTCTCTCTCTCTCTCTCTCTCTCTCTCTCTCTCTCTCTCTTTCTTTCTCTCTCTCTCCCTCCTTTTCCCGTCGCTCTCGTTTTCCTCGGATACGCCTCGTCGAATTTCATTATCGAACATCTACTACGGTTAAGTTGGTTCCTCGGGACTTCGCAAATTACGGAAATCAAGGGGGCTCCGGTAAGTCTAGAGGATACTGCCGCTTCCTGCTTTCGCGCGCGCTCCTTGTTCCCTCATCGCACGCTCAACTGCTCATCGGCGAAGAAACTAGCTCAAACTGTATCCCTTCTCGTCTAATATGATCGGAAATAGTCGAAATCAATCGGCCGACGACTCGACGGGCAACTCGCGCGCGGCCGGGACTTCGTTGCGAAGCGTGCGCACGGCCGTTTCCTCGACGCGGGTATACCTATATAAAGGAACGGTAAAAGGTTTCCGGCAGAAACAGATGTGAAAAGTCGCGGACGGCCTGGCGGAAATAAACTGCGGCATATGTCGTCGCGCGCCGTCCTTATCCTTTAACGTTCGTTCCTTTGCGTCCTTTACGATGTTGTGCCCGGGTTGTAATATATACGAGTCCGAGTTCGCGCCTCGGCAGTAAAAGACTAATTGGCAATTTGCGAACGTGGGGGTGGGGTTATCTAAACACCCGTATAAACGCCGTATAAACCGACGTCCAGTGTGTCAGTCGTAGCATCCCGGTAGTGCGCGCATAGGAAACGACCGCATAAAAATATATAACGCGCGGATAGTGCAGACCGACTGCACGAAGCGAGGTGAGGTAATTTCGGACGGACGAATGTGCACGGTTCCGGGATATAAAGCTAGACAGGCACTCGAGAAGCATTACTCGAATTAAATTTTCGCGTCCGCCCGGGCGCCTTTATGGACCTCTCTCGCGCGTCTCGCGGACATGAAAGGAGCGTATTGTCAAACGTCATGCTCTTAACAATATTTACGTTCCTTTCAGCTATTTTTCGGATAAACTTTGTTAGCTACGAGACGCACTTATATGTACCGAGAATTTTTGGTATTACTCAAATTTTCGTATTATTTAAACACCACATCCCCGACTAAATTTTCACATTGTTTTGCCAGCAAATAATCCTGGCAAAAAAAAATGTAACAACGCGCTTCCATCCATTCGCTTTCATCCACGACTCTCGCAACTTATAGAGTGCGAGGGGGCGTTTCCCGATCGAAAAATCCGCATGAATTCGCTATCGCAACTTTTTACGAGCATTCTTATAGATCGCTACCAGATTCCGGTGCAACGGCGCGAGGAAATCCTTAGTCTGCATTTTCAATCCACCCTCGCGCGCGTGGGACATACGGGGTCTCAAATATTCCTGCGCGGAGAACGACGTGAAATGTCGTACGATACGAGCGAGATATTTGTGACTGCCTCTTTCTTCCCTTTGTTTTATATTTTATGGTCTCACAATGAGACATCTTTTTCTTGTACAACGAACGAATTTTCATTCGCAAAATAAAAATCGATTCAGGGTGTTTATTATGCGTTAATTTTGGTGACACAATCATTATAGCATATTTCTCTCTAAAATCTTAAACAAATCAGTTAGATTACTTGATAAACCAAATTACAAATAAGAGAAATACACACGGAAAGAACAATTTTGCTGAATCCAGATCTGAAAATAATTTTTATTCAATAATCAAACTAATTTTATGCGAAAGTCAAAGTGATTGCTAGAATATCAAAACGTTTTATAGCAATGCTTATCAGTTTTAACATTCCAACAACTTATTTTGATGATTTAACAAAAAATTATTTTCAGTTCTGTTTTTAGCAAAATCTTTAGATCTTTCAACAAAATCATTCTTTCCGTGCAAAATTTCGCATTTTCTAGAGAATCAGTTTTAATTTCGTGAACACTACTATAAGAAACAATCCACGGGTCTCGCTTATGATTTTCTTATTATATTTTTATTCGAATAATTTTATCATTTCACAATGGCACACGCGATCGCAACATTCATCGTCATGTTGAATCCGCGAAACTACAGCTCACAGTGCTTTCTTCAGGATCTCCTTAGAATCCTTTATCTGTGCAGCTATCCTCTCAACTGTCTTTCCCCGTCCACTCCTCCACGAGCGGACTGTTTTATTTGCACGACGAAGCAACAACAATACGAGGATTGTTTTGTCTGATTCGATCACCTGATCCACGGGCCCGTAACGTCTCACATAACCTCGGTAATTGCCCTTTTACGCTGATCATTATTTACAGTTATGTTTCGCATTACGTTGATTATTCGCGTAGAGGCCCGCCTATCCCCAGCGCGTGTACAGAACGCGCGTGATAAAGCACGATAGCGAAACGTAGATATCTCCTGCGACGTATCTTTCAACGTTTTATCGACGTCGTAATTCAGGACGAAGTATTCCTCGCGGATACTCCGAGCCTCCGCTTCGACCGATTTACTGCTCCGGATAGTGCGCACCTGCATCTCGATCCTCGTGTCGTCCTGTCCTTAGCGGATATTATTTTTCCGCGAAATAACGGAATCAAATAAACGGAGAATGTGTTAGGGAAGTTCACGTGAACTCGGGGGCAGACGCACGCACGAAATGCATCTGTTTGAGGCAGCGGAGAAGTTGGCTTTTATCATTTATTTATGATTTCTTTATGATTGAAATATTACAGATCGCTACTCTGATGTCACATCGCTAATATAAGAGGATAAAATAGAGACGGGCGCATTTATATTGCAATATATAAGAAAAATGTTAGTAATAAGATGTAGAAAATTTTCGCATTATAATTCGAGGAATTTTCGGTACGCAACAACATTGCGAAAATAAAATTATGCCCGCGAGACAGACGCGAGGCATTATTATGTATAAGGGAATTCCCTGTGAAGCCAGCACCGTATCTTCGTCCGCGAAGATATCGTACTATGCACGATACACGAAAACATCAGATAAACGTTATGTAACATCGGCGGTTCTTTTTATTCCTCCCCAGACTCGGAACAATCGCCAGCCGTGTACCTCCGGGACGATCCGCTGTTTGGTACCCTTCAATTGCAGCAGCACAGCGAGCTACGCGCGCCGACGGCGGAACGCGCGGCATTCTACCTCGACGCGGCGGTCGCCGGTCGTCAGCGGGAGGACGGCGATGCGCATATGCTCTACACGCTGCACGTGTACCAGTACAGCGTCGCCGGCAAGGGCGGAGGTAAATAATTCCATCTCGAAATCCTATCGCTATATATATTCCGCTTTTCCCCGCGTCTGAAAGCGCGGAAACGTATATACCGCGGAAAAGAGATTACTCTGTAGCATTTCAAACGCTGATTACATGCATTCCTCCCCGTCGCTATTTCGCTAGTTCAAGTACTCGTGACATTTCGCGTTCGTTCATTTTCTCGCGTTCCTCTCGCTTTATACTGATGATATTCAAAATGAACGCCCGACTGTGTTGCAGTTGCCGGCGGTAGAAGCCGGTTACACTTGATGGATCTGGGAAATTCGGATCGCGGAAAATCCTCGGGCGGAATTCCCCTCTCCGGTCTGGGCAACATTTTGCTCGCGATCTTCAACGGGCAGAAGCACCTGCCGTACAAGGAGCACAAGCTGACGCAACTGCTGAAGGAGTGCCTCGGCTCTCTGACCTGCCACGCGGCCATGATAGCCCATGTCTCACCCAACGCCCAGCACTACACCGAGACCCTGACCACCGTTCAACTGGCCTCGCGTATCCATCGGATGCGACGCCGGAAGATCAAGTTCGTCGGCAGCAACACGCAGGGCACCGGAAGCGGCGGCAGTTCCGGCGAGGAGGCGGCCCGGCAGAACAGCGAGTGCGACCCGAGCTCGAGCGACCTGTCGGCCGACACCGTGATCTACGTCGGGCCGAGCGCCGACGACGCCACCGACGGCGAGCATCCGCCCGTTTATATACCCAGCTTGAATTCGGGTGACAATCGTTGCGCGATGGGCCGAGTGCTCCGCGGCTCCGCCGCCGAGAGGCCGAGCAAGATTCCGGAGGAGCGCAGTCCAGCGCACAAGTCGAAGACGGTGAAAACGTTGACGCAGACCGCGTCGAAGCAGACCTCGCCCGCGCACAGCGTGACGCCAAAGGCGAGCCCGGCCAGGAAAAGCTCCTCGTCGAAAAACGCTTCGGCGTCCAAGCTCACCGATTCGCCCGGCAGCAAGATACCGGTAGCGGCGCCGAGTGGTGGATCCGACGAGCAGTGGATTGACGGACCGAGGATCTCGAAGTCGAAGGTCGCCGAGGCGAGGCACATGCTGAAGGATTCTCATCACAAGCGGGAGACATGGATCGACGGACCGATGCAACTGACCGGCGCGCCGGCGCTGCAGCTGCACGCGCATCAGCACTCCACCAGCTACGGCTTCATGGACAGTCACAAGAAGAGCATGATCAGAAAGTGGGTGGAGAATCAGTCGTCCCAAATACAGCGGACGAAGCACTCCACGTCGCGGCTCGATTCCTCGAAGATGTCTTCCGGCCAGTCGTCCGGCCAGTTTAAGGAGCTGACCCAGTTCAAGACCTGCGGCGGCGCGGACGACGACGACACGTCGTTGTCCACCGTGGAGAGCGACAGTTTGAAGGCGAACGAGATCGAGGACATAACTGAGAAGCTGAGTGCCAAGCTGAATCTACTTAACGTCAAGTCTAACACAGATTCGGGATTAGATCTGACGGCCAGTCCCGTGATGGACGACAGCATCGAGAAAGGGAAACTCGATCTGCCGGACGACGAGGATGACGATGAAGAAATTGTCGTACCGCCTCCGCTGCCGCTGATCGAACCACTCAGCAACGGAGTCAGCCGAGAGGTGTCCATGGAGAGTCTGAATCTGTCGCACAAGGACATCGTTCTACCCTCCCGACACTCGTTGTCCTCCGAGGACGAAATTCTGGAGATCGTCGAGGTGGAGGACTTGGAACCGGTACCTATGCAAGACTCGTGTCTACAAGTGACCGAGGAGGACATCGCGCTCTGCATGGGTGAGAATCCCTTGCCCGAAAGCGACCAGGAGGAACATCCCCTAAGGATTCTTAGCCAAGAGAATCTCACCGTGGTATCAACTTTCACAGGTGAGTGAACGTTTTGCATTTATACGTGTATAATATTCTTTCGCTCTTAAAACGATCAATTTTCTAAAATACTCATTGCATTTCAGTATTGATTATAATTTAGAATAAACATTTGTTGCGTACTTTTAATTTGCAAAGATTGAGTAGTTTGAGTTGTTGCGAGTTGCAATTTTGACCACGTCGCTATTATAACTTCTAATAAATGTTTTTCTTTCGCGTACAACCACCTTAACTTTCACCTTCGTACGATTGCTTTCCGCGGCGCGAGCACTTGAGCAAACTTCTACGAAAACTATCCTCCTCCCCCCCCCCTACATCATCGCGAAATCGACTTTTCGACTAGAAGTACGTAACAGGCCACATGCGGTAGAAAACAATAATTCACTTCCCTCGAAGAGAGAAACCCCGATGTAATTACACGTCGTTGTGTCCGTTCCTCGAACCGAAAGCGGACAGCTGCCTAGTATTATTTTCCTCCGTCGTTCTTACCCATCCAACCGGCGGCTTCTCGCGGCGCGGCGAGATATGAACTTTACGAACGAGCCGAGGAGTTGTGAGACAGAAAAATCATTTCCAGACTCCATGTCGGTGATGTCGGACACGGAGAGATACAGACCGCATTATCCACCGCCGGTCGGCGCGGGTGTTCTGCCGAGACCGTACTTCGACCACGAGGACTTCCTCGAGCAGGAGACCAGGCACAAGTTCGATCAGTTGGCCCGCCTGCACGAGCTCTATCAGAGCAAACTCGCGCTCGCCAACGTTTCCAACTCCGTGACTTACCAAAGGGAAAACTCCTCCACCGTCAACGTGCGGGACGCTCCATGTAAGTTTCGCGATTGAATGCTCGGTCAAGCCGCGCGGGGACCAAAAAGGAAAACGGACAAATAACTTTTAAGTACCGCCAGCGATATCAAATAAATGTCGAAGACGGACGTTGCCTGTCTACTCGCTCGTCGGGATTACTGGCGTCATATATACGAGTTCTGCAATCCCTCGCGAGCGATTGCCAAGTCGCGATACGTTAAAAAGAACATCCATTAGATTTTAACACAGTTCTAAATTTCGCTCAAATCGATATAGTGCTTTTGCAGTCCATTGTAATTCTATTGATGATTGACAAAATATGTAGATTTATGAAATAATAATACGAAATACAATAAAATTATGATAATTTGAATAATAGATTAAAATCGCGATTTGCTAATCGACTAGGGACGAAAAATAGCTTTCGGAAGAATAATTAATTCTAATTAAGGCACTACAGCCAGCCATCTGCGGTCTACATGCAGTATAACATTAACGCAGGACAAATTCCAGCAGCGACCGTCTTCCGTCCGCCGTCTCGCTGTCAGTCTTTATCCCTTTCGGATGTCTTGTTCAACGACAACGCGAGCAATCACGGCAGCATATACAGCGAACCCGCGTACATAGCCGGCAAGCCCGATCAGGAGAAGATCTGCGACAATTGTCGTCAGAGCATGTCCAGGCCCGCCACGGCCTCTTACTGGTACCCCAGCAGCGTCGCCCATCTCGCCAGTCCCAGAAGGTACTGTGGCAAGCTGGGCGACTGCAATATCTCCAATCTGAGGCATCCGGACGGTGCGTCGAATCCTAATCTAAAGGAGGAGATCGAGAGGATACCCGGAAACGGAGCGTCCGGCTCGGACCCCGAGGAGGAGTACATCGAGGCGAAGAAGCTGTTTACGGCTGTCGAGAGATCCGAGAGGACGGTCACGGGAAAGTCCGATATCGAGGAAGATCTGAAGATTCAAGGTACGAATTTACTCCAAGATTTACTTTATGATATTTTTAACGCCTTTTTAGGAAGATTCGCGTTAATTGGATATCCAATATAGATTTGAATTATCGCATTAATTTTTTTTTATATGAATAATAAGAATCGCACACTTCAGTAAATCTTCGACTTTTAAATTAATAAATTAATTAACATAAATCGACGCTGCATTTCTGATACTGAAGATATTAAACTGCACGGCAATTTATTGTGTATATTTTATGTATATTTTGTGTATATTTCAGGCGGTACGCCCTTGCATCTACCAATGCCGTCACCGGCGCCGTCCTCCGGTCGAATGCAACGCAAGATCCTCAGCCTCGGCTCCTCATTCGGGCTGAACAAGGACGGCTCCGATTCCGGCGCGGACACAACGCCGCGGGCGGCCAAGCTGTCGCCGGCCACGCTGTCCAGACATCGTGCCGAGAGCTCCGGTTACGACAGTATTGTTAGAGACAGCGAGACGAGCAGCATCGCCAGCGACTCGTCCCGACAAACTGGCGCGTTACAAGAACATCAAGGTAATTGACAAGACAATTGATAAGTATCTTTCGACTATCCATTTTGAATAGAAAAAAATGTGCGAGTGACGTCGTGACTAGAAAAGTTACTCATTTTAAGACACAAAATGCATATTCGAAAAAATAAATAAATCTAAATCTATTCCAAAATGAAATTAAGAAAAACCCAATAAAATTATTTATCCTACAAATAAAATATAGTAGACAATTTGAAAAAATCCACTTCCTTACACAAACGATTAATCGATTATACCATTTGGCATTTACGTGCTTCGCTCAGAAACTTTCGTTTGCCCTATCGATCGTTATTTATTTTACTGTAATCTGGCAAGTCCTTCGTTTATTAACTTAATTCCACGCATGTACGCAAAGTACAAAAACATTGTCGGGAGCCTTCACACATTCCTGAGAAAAGATAACGCAAACCCTCTAAAACGATCCTGCCGTACGATGATTCTCCTCAGGTGGCGCGCTGGGGGTTCTAACTTCGACGTTGTGCGGGTGTTTCAGCGGTGGAACAGCGGGCGGCAGGGTGCGGGCCTCGGCGGTCGCGGGCCCACTGCCGGGCTCAACCGGGGCCGCCCGCGGCGTCGTCGGCGATTCTCGCATATACAGGCGAGGACGTAGACATCCTGGACAGACGCGCACGGGTGCGCTCGAACCCACGTGGAACGATGTCCAGGATACACAGCCTGCGCCTGCGCCAACGCCTTCTTAGGCTGGAGCTACGCAACGCTAAAAGGCGCCTCATGGTACCCGACACCCGCTGGGACTACAATCGTAAGTGTATCGGCTTTTCCACGACAAAGACTTAAACGCAAATTTCTGTTAGATCTATTATTTTGAATTTCACTGTATTACAATACATACAAGATGTCCCGAAATTTGCGAATCAAAATATCATAGCAAGAAAGTCTTCGAAAAATTTAGTAAAAAAATTATTTGTAAATTTTTATTTTAAGTAGTTCACTCGCGAATTGAAAACAGTCAGAATTTCTTGAAATTGAAATTATATGTTGTACTAGAAGTCGTTTGTGCAATTAGAATGAGATTGACCGTTTCAATACTGACAACGAGATATAAGCAATTAAAAATTGCATTTTTTATACGTGTCGCCTATACAAAGTTCATGAAAATGTCGCGTTTATTTTTGTAGGGTCTAAACTAGCAGTAATGTTTATTTCTACTAACGTAGATTAACTTTAATCCAGGTTTAACTTACTTTGTATCTTTTTCTACTTTTAAGAATTAAAAAAAGATAAAAAGTAAATAAAACCGTGATTAAAGTTAATCTACATTAGTAGAAATGGACATAAGATGTTAATAAAAAACGAGCATACGATGAAGGGATATGAAACGGATATTGTGAAAAAAATTCATAATTTTTTACCGTTTAGTTTGGAAAATAGAGGTTTGAAAAAAAGGTAATTTTCGATTTTGATTGACATATGGAGGTAAGTGAAGGAAGCAGCCAGTCGAGCTGCGTTAGGCTGCGTTTGTCTGAATTCATTTTTTTCTGCGTGTGCGTGCGGTCTATGGACAGGCGCAACCAAATGTTTTCTCTCACTGGCGAGAGTGGGAGTATCGCCACCGAGCGTGCGATGAGACCTAACTTTTGGATGAGATTATCGCGAGTGGACTATCTTAAACAATAATAATTTTTGAGGTATTAAAGATTTAAATTTAGCCAGTTATACATTAGTACTCGCGTGAAGTGCGCGACCACTTTTAAGACTATCGACGCGCTCACAGACATGTTTCCGTTTAATCGTAATCTATAATTAGCTAAATTTAAACTCTTATACCTCAAAAACTATTGCTTAAAATAAAAATTTACAAATCACTTTTTTACTTAATTTTTCGAAGACATTCTTGCTATGATATTTTGATTCGCAAATTTCGGGACATCCTTTGTGTATTGCTCCGAAATAATCATCTTTTAATGTAATTTATATCATGATGTTATACAAATAAACGAATCACAATTATGTGCACAAGTAGTCTCATTAATTAATTTTTGTTTTAAATTTAACTAACAAATCGTATAACATTCTTTGAGTAAATTTGATTGGATTAATCATAATGACGATTCGAATAATATTTAGAGATATACAGATAAAATTGTAAAAATTGCATAAGGTAAAACTTAGAAAGTCAAAGTGAACATTAATTATATTAGCATGAAGTGCGATCACATATATCTCATTGTTTGTTTCAAAACTAGTGTACGTGGAGGACAGTATGGACTGGCGGGATCCGTCGTTTTTGGAGGCTCTAACGGCTGAGACATGCATTTTGCAGAAGAGGGTAGAGGCCTGTAAGAGCCACGTTCTCCTGGTGACTTGCTTCGATTCCTGCCCTCAACAATCGACAACGGCCGAGATTAAGACCACCTAACGTAGACTCAGATCAGCACGCATGACCGCGTGTTGATCAGCAAACCCGCCCACCCACCTACGAATTTAATCGTTGAAACGAGACGAGCGAGGTCGCCGAATAGGAAAATAATAAAGTTAGCAGATAATGACGTCGCGATGTCGCTCGACTCCGTCCAATAGTTGTTAAATGATATATCGTGGTATCGTCATCGTCATCGTACGTCGTCACTATATTGTTAAGTCTAAAAAAAAAAAAAACGGAATTACTAGGAAGATTTTACACACGAGAGAGATAAAGGGGGCTAAAGTAAAGGGAAAAAGTTTTACCAAGGGTATCGCACACGTACACGCACACGCACGTGTCTTATCGAAGTTATAATATTACGAAGTTATATAACGAAAAGTGTATTCGTGTTAGAGATTTCGCGGTTGCTTCAGTTTCAACGATGTTTCTCAGGACGAAGATGTTGCAGATAATTTTCGCGGTTGTTGCAAATAGCGAAACGAGCCTCGCAGTTTCGAACGCGATGCAAGTTGCGCCGCATTTGTATATCGGCGTTAACGTGAGAAAGTTGGTGCTTTGTTCTTACGTCTATTATTTGGAGATTACTTAGAACACTATCGCTGCCATTTTCTATCTGACGCCATTAGTAAAATTATAAGAGAGAGAGAGAAATATTTCCGACCTTGAAGACTGTTGGCCAATCGGCCGAACCAACATATTTATCGGGAACAGCGACGAATGAATAGAACAAAGCGGAAGGTGCGCATGAACTTCTATTGTCGCGGTAGATTAGAACTATTCATCTCAATCTAGAAACAATACGACACGCGTCGATATTCATAATCATATCGATCATATCGAGAAATAACAATCGACCGCGAATTAAAAGACAGTCGAGTGGAAATCGACGAAGCCGATCACAACGGTTGTAAATCAGATATGATTATCCGAGCAATCTTACGCAGTATCGACAATTCAGATCGGCCATAATCTGAACAGTAATCGTGATCGATTAAATTTTGTCCTTCTCTGTGTTATCGTTAGAATCATATGATCCCGCGAGAGGGAGGAGAAATCGTTAAATGACGTTGGTTAATGAAAGTTAATGAAATGAGTTGCCAATTAAAATCACTCGCACAATGACAAATATTAAAGTATATATTATAGTGGTAGATGCAAATTTGTTCATGAAAAAATCGAGCTTCGGTTTTGAGGGAGAGCCAAACAGCGCACTGCCGAGAGAGTGCAAAAGAGACCTTTTATACGAACTAACGAACAATCGATAAACGAAAACGCGCCGTACGTAATGTATCTAATGCACGCACGTTAATTCATGGTATTATCGTAGCTTTAATCGTTATCAGCAGTTACCGCACTTCGTAGGGTTCCGTAACTCACTTAGAAAGATGCAAAAGAGAATATATGAGAGAGAGAGAGAGAGAGAGACAGAGAGAATGAATAGAAGAAAAGAAGAAAGAAAAGAAATGA